TGGGGGTGATCATGGTGGGCCAGGGCCTGCGAGAGGGGAGGCTGTCACGCTTCTCGGGCGTGCTCCCCCCTTGAAGAGCCCGCTGGACGAGACTGAGAGCAGCACAGGTCGTGCCCCGGCCCTGACCGTGCGCGCTCCTGTGGGCCGTGTGCCTACCCATACTGCAGCAGCCCCTGCTCCTCCGCCCAGTCAAGGACTGGCGTCTCGTGGAGCGCCTCCGTGAGCCCGAAGGGAAGACGATGGGTGGGAGACGACGCGCCCTCGGTGAGAAAGCCTTCTCTAGCTATCTGAGAGGGAGCCTTGAGGTACCGGAACCCCCAGCTGCTGCCCCTCCCAAGCGCAGTGGCCACTGTGGCGAGTGCCAGAGCACGTGGGAAGAACCTCTCGCCTTCCCCGGATGGGTGCGCCTGCCTGCGGTGGGGCCCAGCGCCTGCTCTTTGAAAAAGAAAAAAAGGAAAAACATAGAAAGAAAAAAAATTAAAAACAAAAGAAAAACAAAAAAAGAAATGAAGTATATTAGAATATATTCATGCAAGTCCACAGACCTAAAAGTTGTGCGGATTTAAGTTAAGAGCCTAGTCTTACGTATTCTCTTTTAAAGGTTTTATTCAAGAATGAGTTCAAGGCATTTCAACAAAACATGTTAGAAAGTGTCTTGGCAGGGGATACAAATTCAGACACTCATAGGGATAGGCAGATAATAGGGATACTAGGAGGAAGGGTGGCAGCAGATGTGTGTATGGTGGAAACTGTAGCAAAATACTAAGCACATGCCCTGTCCACAGGGGGAGCAAGCAGGTTTTTACCACATGGGAACATGGGCCTCTTATGGCCATGTATTTCCCTTTTTTAAGAGAAGCCAGGCACCTAGATTTTCATAATAACTATACAGATGGGTTAATGTTGGAGAAAAATTAAACACTGGGACGAAGGAAACACAGACAAATCTTTTACCAGATTTGTCTGGTGGGCTATAAGTTTATAAATTCAGGGAAGTAAGGGAAATTGGAAGAAATTAATTACTCACATTTTTACGTAATTTTTACTATCATATCTTTATTACATTTATTTTGAAGACATAAGAATTAATTTAAATTTAATTTCTTTCCTAGAGTGGCAGCATTTACCATAGAACAATCAGAGGCTTCAGGAGCTAAATTGTTTATTTAATGATATGGAGAAACATTTACTGAAAACCTATGTTACTGAAAACCTATGTTGATGCACCAGGTACAAGTCGGCAAAAATATAAAGATTAAGACATTCTTTCCAAAGCTTACCCACCAGTGCATAAAGAGTTGTACCAAAAGATTACAATGCAATCTGATAAGGCCTATCATAGAGATATGTAAAAAGTACAAAGGGAGTAGGAGGTAAGAAAACATACATCTTTCCCAGGAGATTGGGAGGGATTCTCAGAGGAAAGATCTCTTTGAGTAGAACTTTGCATTAAGAGGCCCAGATTATTAATGATCTAATAGATTATTCTGAAGAATCGGGCTTTTATCCTAGAGGAAACAGAGGGTCACTGAAGAATTATGAACAGGGAATTGATGTTTAGATTTTTATGATCATTCCAGCTACAGTATGGAATGGCCTACAGGAGGAGATAGAGTAGAGAATGAAGACCCACAAGATGATGATTTCAGTAGGTCAGTGAACTAAGGCAGTAGCCGGGAACATGAAGTAAGACTACTAGTTTGGAAAGATATTTAGGGAATAGAAACAACAGAACCTGGTGGTTGATTGTACACTAGATGGTAGAGTAGCAAAAGAGAGGGAAGAGTTGAGAATGACTTGAGACTCTGTGAGAGGTAGTGTGGTACAAAGGTGAGAACATAGTCCCTGGAGCCAGACCACTTGGGTTAAAATCCTATCTCTTCTAACTCATTTACTGTGTGACTTTAAGCAAGTTATTTATTCTCTATAAGCCTCAGTTTTGTATATATGTCAAGTGTTCGTGTCTAAAAATTAGTTATTATTTATTATTATAATTCTGGTTAGGATGGTGGCATCATTCAGTTTGTTTCTTTTAGAAGACTAGCGTTGCCTTTGAAGTGCTTTTAGGAGATTCTACGTTTGTATAGTTGAAGATGTGGATCTCGGGCTGAGAAGAAAGTTTCAATAGTACAGTTAAGGTGTTTAGAGCCTCTGATGCAGATGAAATAGCCTAAGATATTCATTTTCAGAGAAGAAGGCCCAGTGTTTGAGTCTCCAGGACACTAATGTTTAATGGGTAGATAGAGTAGGAAGCAAAATCTGCAAAGGCTCATAATAAGAGAAGGCCAGAGAGGTAGCAGAATGTAAACAGAAGAGCAGTGTCTAAAACCCAAGAGAAGAAATGGTTTTAGAAAGGCTATAGTCAACACAGAAAATACTACAGAGGAATCAATTATGATGATGACTGACAAGTGTCTATATTTAACAACTAGGAAATCTTTAATAAAGTAATTTAAAATGGCTCCTTGGTATTTGACATATAGAAAAGACTCAAATGTTAGTTTCCTTTAACCTTAATTTTAAATGCATTTCTAGAGAAAGAAGAATTAAAAACAACTACTGGATTAAATTATATAATTTTTTGTATTTGTAGGTTAAAAAACATTGAATTCAACAATTTCATGTAATTCAACTATGTTGAATAACTGAAAAGCTGCTTCAAAGACTGGTAGAGTAAAATCAGATCTTTGTTTCTATTGTTTGCATTATGATGCAAGAGCAAAAATTACCCCTTCTTTCTTCTAATTTTTCCTAAAGAAATGGAGTTGATAATGATTGCCAATACTGTATTCACATGAATAGCAGGTAATGATATCTAAGTGCCTTCCTTACTCCATGTTCTACTGTAGTTATTTCCCTTGTCACTCTGCCTTTGAGTCTAAAAACTACAGGGGTGAAACCTAAATGCAAAGGTAATTTAAAGGAAAGGATGTTTGCACCTTTCCAAAGAAATGCCTTCTATTACTAATAACATTGGTATTATGAAAAAGTCTAGTTATTTTGGCAGTGTAGAGTATAAAGCATAAAATGTTGAGTGTTAGCTTTGGAATCAAGTCCTGACTCTATCACTTATCAGGCATGAGGTCCAGGGAAAATTATTTACTTGTCTAAGCTTCCACTTTCTCATATGGAAAATGGAGGACTGCTATCATTTGGGATTTTGTCATGATAGGGTAAGATAATGTATATAAGGGATTTACAACAATGCCCCTTACAACAAATGGTAGCTTATGATATTTACCCATAGTGAGTAAGCATGAGAAAGTTTGAGAGAATTGTTTTTAAAGTACTTTTAGAAGGATTAGTCTGTCCATACACCAACAAAAACCTTTAAGTTCTTTCTAGCAGTGTAGCTTCCTTGCCCAATCACTGGGAGCCTTCCAAGAGAACCAAGAGCCAGATACATAACTTCCAAGACACAAGGGCTGAGTAAGCTTTGTGCTTCTCATCAGTCGGGGGCTGGTAACATATTTCTTCATAACCAGTGAAATGCATGACTCATAAAACAAAACCCCTCAATATTTATATCCAAAGAAAAGCCATACAATTAACTACCAAAGACACATAAATGATAATGCTAATGATGTATCACAGGTATCTTTATCATATCCCCAAATTTTCTTATTAACCTGATATTTAACAAAGATGAAAAATATTTAGTTTTAGAAATATATTTTTCTTTCACTTTACAATAAATTAAAGCAAAATAAATTTATAAAATATACTGAAACTATCTGGTGAAAAAGTCCTTGTAAGCTCATCACCTTAGTTTCAAAGTCCATGGTAGTGTTTCATTTCGAATTTAAAGTTCAATAAATACAATCCTAAAAAATGCCTTAACCTGCTATTTACTTTGCATTTTTATGAAAGACTACTATGCTTTGCTTTTGGCAAAATGGTCATTAAAAATATAATAGAAGACTATTCAGGGAAATGGAATCCCAGAAAGTATGATAGTATTATGGATCTTAAAGTAAAGCCACCAGTGCAGATGTTCCTAATCATACTAAAAACAGAAACACATAAACCAGTTTGTTCCAGCTACAGAATAATTCAGTTATAAAAGTGCTTATAATTTAATGGTATGAATAATATTTCAAGCCAGGGAGGTAGTAAAACTGCAAAAAAATATAAATCTACAGAGTCTGTGCCAAGGAATATTTTACAAATTCTCAAGGCTGAAAAAATCAGTTCCTTTTCTTGCTACAGGTAGAAAATTATTACCTGAATTAATTTTTAAAAATACAATGAATATACCTTTCAGGAAAATACACACACAAAAAACACATACATGATCATACACTGTATGCACACTAGTTACCTAAGAGCTTTCACAAAGAGAAACATCTATCTAAATCCAGAATATCATTTATAACCTGCTTTGGGAAAGTTAAAATCAGACTTCTCAACAGTTTAAATTTTGTATTGAGAAATAAACAGTATGTAATGTGATACAGAATTAAATCGGCATGTGAAAACGTAAGCTCTAAGGACACACAGGATTCTCTTTGCAAATAATGATCTTGGCAAAGAGCCTCCTTTATGTACAGAAAGGTCTACTCCTTGCTTATAGCAACTCTCAAGACTACAAAGGTAATTGTATGCTGCTAATTAGGTTTACAAATGACTTGTTCAAGCCAGGAGATATTTTATAGCTTGATTCAGCTTAAGTAGGAAGCTGTATCAGCAAGGTCAAACTATAAAAACTCATTCTCCCACAATTACTAAAATTATTGATCTTTACTCATATAGTATGAATTTTAACATTGCAAATATATAATGCCATTAAAAATTTGGTTTGATGCTTATTAGGTATCAAAAAATAGCAAAAAAAAAAAGACAACTAGGAAAACATTTGTATACAGACATTTAATGTGTTTATTCCCCCAAAGTTAATTAAAATACATTTCATTAGTAGATCTTAGGTCACAATACTCTTCCAAGAAAGCAAAGTGATATCTATTCTGCATAAAACAGGAAAATCAAATGCAGTACATTACCTTGTGTCACCTGTTGAACTGCCAGCATTATCCCAGACACAGTGTCTGGAAGCAAGTTTTCTTTCAGATTATAATGTGTTGCCCATTCCAAAATAGGTAGCCGCCTTCTACACCACTGTTTAAAGTCTTCACAATGGGGCATATGCATCTTGCTCCAGAGCACACTTTTCTTTTTTCTCTTTGCCCCTGTCATTTTCAGATTACCTCTTGTAGAAGTAAACTTCTTAAAACAAGAAAAAAATCGTTGCAGAACACCTCCTTTCAATGCCAGGCTCCAACTCGTCTGTGGTTTACAATGTCAAAGCAATCCAGAAAATAAATCAATAAAAGAAAGAGGGAGAGAGACAGCACTTAAATATATGCAGCCAGGCTGTATGTGTTATTATGGTACAGCTAATTATGCTAGATGAAAGATACAGACTAAAACCTTGAATTCTTATTTGAATGAGATGGAGAAATGGTCCCTATTAGTATAATATTTTTCTCATCTTGGAAAAGTAATGGATTCAGTGTTAAGTTGGTGTAGAGTTCTCTTGCCAGTAATTCCCCTTATATTCACTGTAGTCTTATGCTTTGGCTTAAATCCCAGCAGCTAATGAGGTAGTTCTGGGCATGTGTTGGAAGTGGGCTGGGTTATGCTAATGAACCCAGGACGCATTTAGCTATTCCCGTCTCTCCCTACAAGCTATGCAAAACCATAAAATTGCCAGAGAGGTTTGCCATGCAAAATGTATTCAGAGAATCTAGATTTACTTCTTTGGGGAGTGTATATTTTCAACATATCAAACAACTACCAGTTCTAAAACATTCAGAAACATAAGAGGCATTGCTAAAGGTTTTTATTTTTTTTTTGCCTTCGAGACGAGATTTTCATTCATACAGAAACATTTAGACAGCCACTGCCCAGTCTGGGAACAGAATAGCCAGTTCTCATAAACAAACTGAAATTTCATTTCATGGGCTAAGAAAATATGCATACAATGAACAATTATTTGTGGCAATAGTTATTTCCTGTCTCTGAATTGTTCATTCAGTTTTCTCTATTTTTCCAATTATATAATTCTCACACTCGTGCTCTTGTAACTGAAATTTCTGAGGAATGACATATGGTTCATACTACTGTTTGAAATGTCCCCAATATTTTTTATGATTCTGGCCTCTTTTCACATGACTTTTGGGGGGTTTCTCTATTTTAAAAAGGATGTTACATTTTATAATGGAACAGTCAGGCTGTCAAAGACCTTTATTTTATGATTGTAAGGCCCAGCCCCCAGAATAAAAAGCCTGCATTTATGAGCTGTGCCATTCGAATTAAACCAAAAAGCCAATATATTAACTAAAATTGTGAAGTTAAGGAAAAGAATACCATGTATAGAGTTTGCTGGAGCCCTTTTAATGCCTATTTGTCCAGAGAGTAGAGATCTGTTTTCTGGAAGTCTTTAGAATAACGAAGTACTTGGACACCTTGGCTACCTCCAAGATTCCCTGCTGTACTTTTTTCTCATTGTTTTTAAATTAAGGTGAAGATCTACTCTTTCAGTCTTCCCAAAATGACATCACTGGCTTTCTATCTGTGCAAAACTACCTCTCTTTTTATAAATCCATTGAATCCTAAATATGTAGTGATATATGTACACTTTATTCATGTGTACAGAATAGAATTTGCTTTGTGTTTTTCCAATTGTTTACATATGTGTAAATGTAAATTGTAACAATGTAAATTGTTACATATTTATGAACCTTTCATTAATTTAGATTTGGAGTCCCATCAGAGACTCAGTTGTAGTATTTTAGCCCTATTCCTCTGGTGTCAGAGGTAGACTCATCAGATAAGGAAATCCACCTTTAATAGAGATGCCATGTTGCTTTTTCTTCACAAATAGCAATCTAACTTTGTTTTATATACTCTACTCATTACATAAACAAAGAAATACAGAAGCTGTATATAAACTGAGTATTATTACTTTTATAGTCAAAATAAAGAGTAAAGATTTTTTTTCTAAACATATCTAGGTGAAAAATTCAAATCCATGTTAACAAAATGAGAAGAATAATTGCAAGCTTAAATACTGAAATCACCAATCAACAACTATGATTTGTGTAATTTCAATCATGTAAAAAAAAAATCTGTGTTCAATGTTAGTAACAAAGAATTCACATGAATAGAATTTTTAGAATTGAAGATGAATCTATATAGAAATATCTAATCATATTAGTGCCAGAAATTGCTCTAAAACATCCTAAGACCAGGAGGGAAAAGAAATTAGTTTGATAAAATAGTTCTGTAGTCTCTCAATAAAAGAGATAAAACTCCTAAAAGTCACAGTAAATCTTTCCTAAAAATATTTTGTTAAATATAAATCTGGAATTACAACTCCAGGTTTTCTTCCAACTCCATGTGCTTAGACATTATTTAAAACATGCCAAAATCTCACTCCAAAGCATGGTATCAAGAGTAGGATTGATTATAACCAGCAATACCAAAAATCCTTTGTGAAAAAATTTATTCACACCCACAATACTCTTAGAGCACTTTACCCAGCCCATAAAATTCAAGAGTAAACATATTTATTCAAAAGTTTCAATGGCTAAAATTAGCTTAAAGTTCGGTACTACATGTCATCTATATAAGATATCTCTTCCCAAATGTCCAGGTAACACCTATGCAAATAAAAAGTTGAACTTATCTTCCACCTCCCATGTAGAACAACAGAAAAATTCTTTTTCCTAAAATATTTTGATCACATCCCTAACATGTTAGAACTTCCAGTGATTTCCAATACTACACTTAAACTCACTAGCACAAGCATGTGACCCTTTCTCCACATCTCTATCCCTCCTCTAACTACATATCAACTCTATTTAAATCAGCAGCTATTTATTGATGAATCACATTTTGCTAGACTGTAGGAAATGCGATAGAAGGATGGGGGAGGGGAAGATATCGTCTATTTTCTAGGGGTTATTTAATGAAGGAAATAGAAAAAGGCAGAATAGGATAAACTAACAATCAAGTCACACAATGAGTGTTATGGGCACTCAAAGGATGGAGAGTTGCATTCCCAGTGAGAAAAAAAGGTTTCCCACCTTGCCTAGACCCTGTATTTTAGCAGGTTAGTATACTTGCTATCTGCTGCACACTGACTCTTCAGTTTATCTCTATACTAATTTCCCTAGTTCCATGGTTTTTTCCTTGTCTAAACATTTACTCAATACTTACCTCTTCCATGAAAATTTCCCTGGCTTCCCCACAGTTCTGTTCTTGCTGAACACCCAAGATCCAGGTAACCAGGCTATTCACGGGTATACAGCTATAGTCATTTTCACTGTCTATTGATATTCTTCCTCGAAATTTATTGCATGTGATTTTAACCAGTCTGGCTCATGAAACTGTAAATTCCGTGTGAGTAGGGATTATTCACATAACCTGCTTTGCCTCTTTCCTCAGGATCTAATGGAAGGTTCTGCAGACATAGGATCTACTCAGTAAGTATTAACATATGAATGTCCCTACTCTTGAAATTACCAAAGAATCATTTAATCTATCTCAGCCTAGTTTCCAGACTGTGCTGTTAAAGAATCAGGAAAATAGGTAGAGATAGAAAGAGAGTTGGAGATAGTAGTGGGAAAAATAAGGAGAGTTTCTGTTTTTACTTGCTCAAACTCTCCCTATTCTTTCATAATATAAGGAAAATCCTATCTTTTTCAACATGATTCCTTTCTCTTATAGAATATGAAGAATGTGGAGAGGAAAAACTAGAATAAATGCAGAAGAAGAAAGAGATGAGACAAAAGAGAGAAAACCTCATGGACAGGAGTTTCAGAGAGAGTTTTAGAGGGTTAGTGTGTGACAGGAAAATTGCTCTGGAGCAATTATGAAAAAAGAGAGAACTGAGCCAGGCACAAATGAAGAAAAATGTTAAAGAAAAACATTTTAAGAAAAGTTGTGCACTAGAAACTGGATCACATTTAATAGTTTTTGAGAAACACTAGTAAAGACTGAAATTCTTCTCACATTACTTTTTATTGTGACATTATGCTTCTTTGAATGTGGTCTATGTGGAGACCAGAACACCTAAAGCAGTGATTTATATTCACATTACACTTGGAAAGGTAGACTTATAAATATTAGAGGGCATTAACTCCAAACTCAAGCCTACTTCAAGAAGTTGATCTACAGCATTCCTAATAAGAGGACATTGCAAAAGTTTCCTATCTGAGTAGGTAAGTAGTAGCTGAAACTGAATCCATGTTCTACTAAGTCATGTAACTGACATGGCGATACATCAACACAGAGGGAGCAACTTTAATTAACTCATCCAGTAGATATGGTACCTTTTTCACAATTTGCTTAAAATGTCATATAGGCTGGCCTAGCCCTGAATCCAACCTATGTTTTAATTCTAATGACCGTAATTGACAAGCTTAGAAAAATAGCTTTTTCCAATTTTCAGACATTCTAATTGTTAGAACATTTTTTTCTATTCATAATTGAGCCAAGATCTGCTATTTAAAATACCCACTGTTGACCAAAGGACAGACAGCAGGAGCAAGAAGAACTACAGTCCCAAAGCCTGTGGAACGAAAACCACCATCACAGAAAGATAGGAAAAATGAAAAGGCAGAGGACTATGTCACAGATGAAGGAACAAGATAAAACCCCAGAAAAACAACTAAATGAAGTGGAGATAGGCAAACTTCCAGAAAAAGAATTTAGAATCATGATAGTGAAGATGATCCAGGACCTCAGAAAAAGAATGGATGCAAGGATTGAGAAGATGCAAGAAATGTTTAACAAAGACTTAGAAGAATTAAAGAACAAACAGAGATGAACAATACAATAACTGAAATGAAAACTACACTAGAAGGAAGCAATAGCAGAATAACTGAGGCAAAAGAACAGATAAGTGACCTGGAAGACAGAATGGTGGAAATAACTGCTACAGAACAGAATAAAGAAAAAATAATGAAAAGAAATGAAGACAGCCTAAGAGACATCTGGGACAACATTAAATGCACCAACATTCACATTATAGGGGTCCCAGAAGGAGGAGAGAGAGAAAGGACCCGAGAAAATATTTGAAGAGAATTATAGTTGAAAACTTCCCTAACATGGGAAAGGAAATAGCCACCCAAGTCCAAAAAGTGCAGAGTGTCCCAGGCAGCATAAACCCAAGGAGAAATGCACCAAGA